GTTGTGGACGATGATGATGATGGCGGTGGTGGTGTCGCTGTTACTCCAGCTGCTGCGGCCGCGGCGAGATACATTAAAAGCCATGTTTGCTAACTAGCACACGGCCCGCCGTCCTACCTGCCTTATACCTATGCTAACCTTACCTCACCAGTCTCTCTGTTTACCTTACACTAACTGATACACGGTACCGTACTCTCATCTGTAGCCGTATTACCAGCGTTGCCTGTCATAGCTGTGAGTGTTCGGCTACTCTAAAATACCACACACGTTACGTAATAGTGCGATTATTTTGTTTAAGTTTAAACATTTATGTTTGATAAATCCCGAAGCTTGATTTGTTTACCACGGTGACAGCTCTACTGCTCTAATTGTCGTTGACAATCTGAATGAAGTCGCAAGAGCTTGTCAATAAATACCTGCATTATTCACAACGTAAACCTATTCTTCTATAGTATAATGAGATCCGATGCATTCATTCCGCGAGCTATGTATAATTATTACGGCAATGAGGGACATTGCTGGTTGGAGTTGCGGCAATGGGCTGCTGTCGGACTGCATGCTGAGATCGGCAGGATTACGTTGCTGAGCTTATTTGTCTTTGACTATCGAGTCTGACGTTGACTCTAATGGTTCGGCCCGATGCGCCTATAACGTTAGCTGTTTATTGCGGGGTAAATGCAGTGGTGAACCTATTAGTGTGATGTAGCGCGCGTTGGCGAAAGCTGTTGGGAACAATAAAATGTCGCAACGCATTCGGGAGACGTGTTAAGTAATTGCTCGAGCTGTTCTATTTATGCGTGTGTGTGTGCGTGCGTGCGTGCGTGCGTGCGTGCGTGCGTGCGCGCGTGCGTGCGAGTGTTTGTGCGCGCGCGTGTGTATATATGTATACTAGGGTAATCTAAACAGATCCGGTAATTTGATTGTAAATACGCGGCTTTCCCAGACCCCGAAATGAATTTGCCTGTGCTTGAGAAATATTCGATTCTCCTTTTGACCGCGCGCAATTTTCCGTCTGTGTGAACGCTACCATACGCGGATTTCTGAAGCCGACGTATTTAACGACTTGTCGCGCGCTTCGACAGTTCAGTGTAACGCGAGTGGCAATTGTCGAGCGCGGACCAGTCTATCGGGTATTTATCGGCAGTTTGTGGCGCAATTGCAGTTGTTTAATTTCGCATTGTTCGCTTGACATTGGATTTTAAAGGCGCTTGCAGCTCGCAAGAGAGTACGGCGCATTTGCTGGACCCGCGAATGCAGCGTGTGAGTACGCTCGGTCCGCTTATTGTCTAGATTCGGTATTGCAAAATACCGATTTCATAGAATTACGAGGTCGCTCAGTGGGGAACGGAGGCTTATGAGTTGCCACACCAATACCTTCGTTAGCGGTAACGGCCGTAACAAATTGGAGAGAATCTCCGAATGGCGGACGCCGCGAGTTGCTCATATCTATCTAATTTGTTTCATTGCTCGTGAAAGTATTTGGCCATCTGAAATAGAAGATATGTCATTCCTATCTTGTAAATATTTGGCAAATTTTCCCCACGGCGGAACCATCCTGCCTCATCTTTGTGTAAAATCGTCCATTGGTATAACCATTTTTCCGGGCTAGCATCGATTATTTTACTCGTGTCAACCGATATGTTCTGACCGGACTGCAATAGCGGCACGGGCGAGATCTGGCTATAGTTGTCTTTCAAAGTTTACTCTACACATGCAGTGAAGATGTTATGTCTGTCGCTGCACATAGCACTGCGCCCACATCACGCGATAGGCGACGTACTCGCACAACGCGTCCCGTGTGTGTTGTGTGTGTGTGTGTGGTGCGCGTGTGTGTGGTGTGTGTGTGTGTGCGTGTGTTGTTGTGTGTGTGTGTGTGTGTGTGTGTGTGTTCGTGTGTGTGTTTGTGTGTTCGTGGTGTGTGTGGTGTTGTGGTGGCGCGGTGTTGTGTTGCGTCATAAACACAAAAGAAGCAAGTCCAAATGGCATGTTGCACGATGCCGATGGCACATGTTATGGCGGGCCCATGATCAACATCATTGGCGTGTGTGATACGGGACCCTCTTCATTTAACTGCATTGATGATTGCTGGCGATGTATGTCACATGAGAATCTCCTCAGTAGTGACTACTGGTATGCTGACCGTGACGAGTATTTAACCACACACACGCACACACAACACAACACACACGACACACACACAACACACACAGCGCACACACACACGACACACACACACGCCGCGCATTGCGCGACACACATGGCACACAGCACATACACAACATACAACACACCGCACACACCACGCACGAACGCAACACAGGCGCACACACACACACACACACCACACAACACACACACCACATAACACTGACACCACACACACACACCCACACACGACACATCACACATCACACACACACACACATCACACACACACAAGCGCGCACACACAAGCGCCACACAGCACAAAGCGCACGTGACATACAGACAATTCTAATAATAGTATTTGAGTTCGTACTGTATTCTATGTATCGTATGTATGTATCGGTTATGTATGTATGTATGTATGCTATGTATGTATGTTGCTATGTATGTATGTAGTGGGTACATGGTTATGTATGTTATGGTAAATGTATGTATGTATGTATGTATGTATGTGTGATGCTGAATGTAGTGTATGTATGTATGTATGTATGTATGTATGATGTATGTATGTATGTATGTTATTGTATGTATGTATGTATTGTATGTATGTAATGTATGTATGGTATGTATGTATGTATGTATGCTATGTATGTATGTTATTGTATGTATGTATGTATGTATGTATGTATGGTAAATGTATGGTATGGTATGTAATGTATGATATGTATGTAATGTTAGTATGTATAGTATGTATGTATGTATGTAAATGCTATGTATTGTTGTAGTATGTATGATGTAAATGGTATGATGTATTATGTATTGTATGTATGTATGTATGTAGTATTTATGTATGTATTATGTATGTATAAGTATGTGTATGTATGTAGTTCTTATGTCTATGTATGTATGTATGTATGGTATGTATGTATGTATTGTATTGTATTAAGTATGCTATGTATGTGATGTATGTATGTATATGTAGGTATTTGTATGTATGTATGTATGTAGTATCGTATGTAGTATGTAGTATGTATGTATGATGTATGTGTTGTAGGTAGTATAGTATTATGTAGATATGTATTTGTATGTATTTGTAGTATGTTAATGTATGTACTGATGTATGTTATGTATGTATGTATGTATGTATGTTGTATGTATGTATGTATTATGTATGTATGTATGTATGTATGTATGTATGTTAGTATGTATGTAGTATTAGTATGTATGTATGATGTATATGTATGTATGTATGTATGTATTATGTATGTATGTATGTATGTTGATGTATGTATTGTATGTATGTATGTTTGTAATGTATGTATGGTATTGTATGTTATGTATGTATGTATTGTAGATGTAATGTAATGTATGTATGTATGTAGTATGTCATGTATTGGTATGTAAGTGTAATGTAGTGTTAATGTTATGTTGTATTATGTATGTATGTATAGTATTTGTATTAAGTATGTATGTATGTATTGTTGTAATGTATGTATATGTAGTATGTAATGTATGGTATGTATGTTGTATGATGTATGTATGTATGTATGTTATGTATTGTATTGTATGTATGTATGTATGTCTGTATGTTGTATGTTATGTATGTACTGTATGTTGTTATGTATGTATGTATGTATGTATGTTGTATGTATGTATTATGTTATGTATGTATGTATGTATGTATGTATGTCTATGATATTACTGCTATCATATGTTGTATGTATGTATGTATGTATTTTGTATGTATGTATGTAGTATGTATGTATGTATGTATGTAGTATGTATGTATGTATGCTATGTTATGTGATGTAATTATGTATGTAGTG